CATGGCAGCATGTAAATACATACATGGTAGTGTTGGACCGAATGTGGATGTAAGAGGTAACAAAAGTGAATGAACTTCACTGTGGCATCAAAGAAAGAACCCTGGGTTTGGCATCTGGACACCAGGTTAAAATTCGGCCTCAGACCCTTAGTCACTGTGAGAACATTAGAAAAATTATTTAACATCTCAGAACCTCAGTTTGCTCATTTGTAAAATAGGGGTTGTAGTACTTGAATTACCAACTTTACAGGTTTGTTGTAAGGGAAAGCACTTCAATAATCTTCAAGTTAACAAATCTAGCTTCTTATTACTAGGCTGTGAGTTATTCAGTAAGACAAATGTTTAAAAACATTTTTTAGGGAGCATGCATTTAGGTAATATCTTAGAAGTCAGCTAGTGATCCTGGGTATTTACTGAGGACAATAATCCTAGTCTATGCAGTATTTACTTTTATCAGCTTTGAATTTTTCAGCATTAAAGCTATTACTTCCTACATCCTGCTTTTTTTCTTTTTGTTGAAGACCCATGGGTATTAGAGGTTTTGTGCCTGTGAATTTATTTCGTACCTATTAGGTACCCAGTAGTAGGGTAAGCTGTATAAAGGAAACACTTAAGTTATGTGATGGGGCTTCTGCTCTCAAGGCATTTATTCCTGTATAGAGATGTAATATATGTATGTATATATATGTATGTATGCATATGCTATTTATATTTTAAGTTTGCAAAGTGCTCTAAAATATTAGCTTATTTTATCCTGCCACACTTAGTACAAGGCCTGACATATAGTAGGTTCCTAAGTATCAATAATTGACTGACTTACTCATAATCACTCTTGAGGTAGGTGCTGTTAATCCCCCCATTTAAGAGATGAGGAGACTCAGGCAGGGAGAGGTTAAGTAACTTGCCAAGGATTGAGTAAGTGTGTGTGAAGCATGATTTGGGTGAGTATGACCTGGTAGGTGTCAGACAATCAGAGAGCTGTATGTTTATCTAGTTTCAGAGATCAGAGTCATGTTCTTTAGCATTGCATATTATGACTTTGGTTGTATCATTTCACACATGTATCCCTGGTCTCAATTTCTCCATTTGTTAGCTATATGCATATGAATTGTTATTAATATGTTGATGTTTATCACATTATGTATATGAATTATTTCATCTTAATACTTTGTTGAAATTGGTTAATAGGGATCTCCCAGAGGCTTATCAGAGCATGAATACAGTGATGAGAAGTGATGAACTCCTTGAAGAGTGTGGGTGTTTCCTCTTTTTCTAGGTCCCGTTAGACTTTGGGGTGGCGTTTGTCTAATCTCAACAAACACTATAACTGGAACCATCCTCTGCCGTTACTTTCATATGAAAGGCAGGGGGTAAATACAGGCAGGTGCTGTTTGGTAATTTTTCATTTATTTATTTTGACTAGAGCCCTAATTATTAGTTTAAAAAAAAAAACTTTTGAAGAAGCTTTTACAATGGTAGTAGACACATGAGTGAGAACCTAAATGAACACAATGAAAGTGGTCACTCCCTTAAATTCCATTTCATTTTAGATTAGGTTAGGCATTTTTTTAAAAATTATTTTTATTTTCACTTCCAAATTCTCTCACTCCCACCACTACCCATTGAGAAGGCAAGAAGTGTAATACCCATTATACATATGAAGTCATACAAAATGTATTTCCACAGTAGCTGTATTGCAGGGGGGGGAAATAAAAACAAAATATGCTTTAAGTTATGTTCAGAGTTCATCAGCTTGCTCTCTTTCTCTCAATCTGGAGGTGGATGGCATTTGTCATCATGAGTCCTTTGAAATTGTCGTGAATCATTGTATTGATCAGAGTGGCTAAGTCTTTCATAGTTGATTTTTGTTATAATATTGCTGTTGTGTCCCATGTTCTGCTTACTTTGCACCAGTTCATATAAGTCTGACCAGGTTTTTCTGAAACCATCCCCTTCATTTCTTGTAGCACAAGAGTATTCTGCCACATTCGTATATCAGAGCTTATTCAGCCATTCCCTAGTTAATGGGCATCCCCTTAGTTTCCAGTTCTCTGCCACCACAAAAGAAGCTGCAATAAACATTTTTGTACATAGAGGTTCTTTTCCTTTTTCTTTGATCTCTTTGAGTTACAGATCTAGTAGCCATATTGCTTGGTCAAAGTTTTATAGCCCTTTGGGGGCATAGTTCTGAATCATTCTCCAAAATGTTTGAATCAGTTCACAACTCCACCAACAGTGCATTTGTGTCCCTGTTTTTCTATATCTCCTACAGCATTTGTCATTTTCCTTTTCTGTCATATTAGCCAACCTGAAAGGTGTGAGATAATACCTCCTCAGAGTTTTTTTTAATTTGTACTTCTCTAATTATTAGTGATTAAGAGCATTTTTCATATGTCTTGATAGCTTTGATTTCTTCTGAAAACTGCCTGTTTAGGTTACGCATTTATTAGATGCCTCCTATCTACCAGGCACTTTGCAACATGCTTTATGATTATTATTTCATTTCATTTGATCCGATCAACAACTCTGAGAGATAGGTACTGTTGTTGTCCCTATTCTACAGTTGAGGAAACTGAGACTATCAGAGGTTCAGTAAATTACTCAGGGTTACATAGCTAGAAACTATCTGAGACCAGATTTAAATTTAGGTCTTCCTGACTATAGGCCCAGTGCTCTATCTGGTATTCCATCTAGCCACCAATTTCAAAGAAAATTGTTTCTGGATGAACATGGTGGCACATATTTGTCATCTCTGCTACTAGGGAGTTTGGGGCTTGTGGATTGCTTGAACTTGTAATTTCTGAACTGTAAGGAGGGCTGAAGCAGATCAGGTGTTTGTATTCAGTCCAGCACCAATACAGTAAGGCCATGGGAGTGGAGGAGGAGGACTAGAGGAGGGAGGAGAGAACAACGATGCCTGAGGAAGGGCAAACTTGTCCAGGTTGGAAACACAACAGTGTCTTTCAGTAGTAGGATTGGGTTTGTAAGTAGCTACTAGAAGGAAAGGAAAAAACAAAGGGAAAGAGGAAAAATGTTTCAGGAAGAGACAAAAGACAGAAATGTCAGTGGTAATTTTTATTGTCTCCAAATTATTCTTTAGAAAAATTACCTTCAATTCAGTAAAACTCAAAACATTATTGCTTTTTAAATCTATATGGATTTTGGTTGCTTATAGTATTAATAAAAACCAAGTCATTATCATCAGAGGTAGAAAGAATTTATTTCCTTTTAAATTAGTGGGTTTTTTCCTCCAAGTTACAAAGTGCTTCAAATTACAAAAGATCTTATGGGATATTTTATTTAAGCAAATTATTCCACTACAGTTCTGAAATTCTGTGATTCTTCTCATTGTAGCTTATCTTAGATAAATCATTTCAAAACTGAATACATAGATACTCAGTTTTCTGTCAGGGTGTAATGCTAGAACTTTGTAGAAGAATTAGATCAGCCAGACCGTGCTGAAAGCGGTAGACCTTTTTGTACAAGATATTTATGATTAACTCCAAAAGAGAATGCATGTGGTGTGACTGGAGAAACTCAAAGAAATGGGAGACAGGGACAGGAAGGGAAGCACCCTACCCATCCTCTCACTGGGGAACTATCACCTCTAAAGCAGGAGTGGGAAAGGGAAGGGAAGGGGTATAACCGAGGATGTAGCGAGTGAGCCTCGGGCGCAGTGTTTTTCGGGTCATGACAAGAAAAGCAACTCCTTGATGGTCTTGCGAGAGGCTCCTCATGGGACTTGGTATATGATTACACAGTGTGCACACTGGAACTCCTGGGTTCCTGCTTCAAAGTAGCTCCAGGATTTCCAGAGTCAGAGCATTTCCAAGACTGGGGCTATTCAGGGGTTTTATGGAGATAGGGCAGGGCAAGTTCTGCTTAAGCAAGCCTCATTTTGATAATTGTATTTCAATATAATTGGTTTTCTTTGTAATCCTGTGCATTTTATTTTATGCATTTAAAAACATGATTCTGAGAAGGGACTTACAGTCTTCATTTGATTGCCAGTGGGGATTCATCACACGCTCATGCACGCGCACACGCACACGCACACACACACACACACACACACACACAATGCTTAAAAGCCTCTGAGCCTCTGATCTAAGTCAGGCATTATTTTCCTTATAGTAACCCATAATTTTGAATGTTTCTGTCAGAGACCAAGTAGCAATGTCTTAAACATAAGAAAATAACTCATTTAACACTGCCAGAAAGAATCTTACCTGTTAGTTGAATCTACAAAACAGATGAAAAGAAGATATTCCATAAAGGCAGAGGCACTTGGGAAGCCCATAATGATGAAACAAGCAAATTTTTCCTTCCTTTGTTCAATTCTAAGTTTGTTGTGCCTTAAAGTTAGCCTCTGTTGTTATGCCCAGAGAAGCATTTCTTTCTTTTATTAAATACAAAAGCTGGCAGTGCCAGCAATTTGATTCACGCTTAATGTGGGAAGAAGATACCTGTTTGTACTTTAACAAGTAGAACCTGTTTTTAATATATAACTTGCCAGCTCCTGACTGGGTGTTCTTTTTAAGTGTAATTACACCCTCAAGAATACACCTCTCTGAGCCTTAAATACTTTTCCCTCTTGGCTTCTCGTTTTGTTGGGCTGCAGCCACACTATTTAGTAATTGAGCCTTTTAGTAGGATTGGGGGGTAGGTGGCAGCAGGTGAGAGTCACCCCTAAAGATGCGGAGACCTGTTGCACCAAATGATTAAACAATTGGGAGTTAGGTTAGTGAACTGAAGTGATAGCCTTCTTGATGGACAGCTGTGAATATTTCAGGAGAATTTTTCCCTCACTTTATGACTTCAGTACTTAACTTTGCAAAGTTCTGTGTGGGAGCCCATTTCATGTCAACCATAGTAAAACTGTATGTGAGGAGCTTAAGCCGAATACCTGAGATTTTGTTCATGAATTTGAGAGGTGATATTTATTTAACCCACTGCTGCCATAGATAATTCATTCGTTGCTCTCTTTCATTTCTTTGTAGATGGTGGCCCACGGGAAACATTAATGCATTTTGCAGTGAGACTGGGACTGCTGAGGTTAACTTGGTTTCTGTTACAGAAGCCAGGTGGAAGAGGAGCTCTCAGCATACACAACAATGAGGGAGAGACTCCCGCAAGCCTGGCTTTAGAACGGGGCTATCAGAAGCTTCATCGACTTTTGACAGAGTAAGCTTTTTTCTCCTTGTTCTCTTCATCTCAGCCATCACCTCATATCTTCACACTATCATTCATATTAACACACTGGTTGGTATTCTTCCTGTCCTTTATAATTTGCCACTAATTGAGATCAAAACCTGTGTATTCTGCTGGATCATCGCAAACTTGTCCTTTCTGTCTTATATGTAAGAATATTAAGGCTTGTGGGAAATCTAGGGTTTTTTTTCCACTCTAATTCTCTTCCTTTCTCCCTGTTTTCTTTACTCTGCACTCCTGTTTTATTAGTTGGGGGTGGGGCATGCCTGTTGCCTAGCTTTTTGTTCTCTCATTCGTTACTGAAAATGTATAGTGAGTTAGGGATTTTTGGTAACATTAGGCAATTTGTAGAGATTCTAAGATTTGAAACTTGCGTTTGTTTCTTCAAGATGTTGTTTCTTTAAATTAGAAGCCAATCAATACTTTAATACTATAATTATGTATGGAAAATGTATATTAACCACAAGGGATTGCTTTGAATTGTAACTTACATGGTTAAAATAGAGAGCAGAGGTCTCTCCTATGAATACAGTAAAAGTCAACAGAGTTGTCCTGGAAACTTGCGGTAAGTAATGCCTTCTGTGTCCATGTTTGTCTTCTGTTTTTCTCCAGTCTTCTTTTTTTAAGAGTGCTTTTTTGGTTATTTTAATAGTTAATAGATTTAGGAAAAAATTTAACAAATTGAACTTGTTGAACAAGAATAAACTCGTATTTCAATGGAGTACTAGTAAAGGCAGAAATTACAGGCACAATTTCCTAAATAATAATATATTTGTTTGGTCCTGCCGCAGTAATCTGGTGGTGATTTTTTCTTTACAGAGAGCCAACTAAAACCAAGTATACTCATTCTTCAATAGGTGTTCCTTGACAAAACAGTTCCTTATTCTTTAGGTTAGTGTGTCCCAGTTCTTAGGCCTTGTCCTCCCCTTGAGTATGACTTTGTTGGTGTTTTATTTGGGAGTGGGAGGAGGGAACAGAAGAGGAAAGGTACAGAGAGTTTTCATACTCTCTGTGCTCGTGCCAATAACTTGTAACTACTTCGTAAGTTTTCTAGTTGAACCACCAAGAGTAGTTGATATAGAAAAATGTCAGTGATTGGTGTTGCATGGATGGTGGGAGGTTGCTATGTTAGTCTTGTGAATGTATGTGTGTATGGATACCTGGGCTCTGTTGACACATCGTTCTAGTTCAGTGATATGCCAATGGCCATACAATTCCCATCTGGCTAATACTGAGAGTACTTATTTAGGGTAATTGAAATTGGCTTGCTGTCTATGCTAGGGGAAAAAAAGCAGAGTGCTAGAAGTTTAAACAATTAGCATTGTGGGAGAAAGGGGTATGCATTTCAAATGGAATTCCTTTGGATTTGGTTGTGTAGTTCAGGACATGTACTAGATAATACCAATACCACCAAAGACTGGCTGGCAGAGTTAGTATTGTGCTCTAATCCAAATAAGGAAATAAAGTTATTACAACAGCTCCTTTTTGTGCTTGAAAGATATGTCACAAGACTGATATTGCAACACTGCTTTAAGGAAATGAGAGGTTGTATGATAGCTTTTCTTTAAAAGTGTCATTGCATTGGATTCTCTACTCCTATATTTATGTATTTGGCAGGGGATGGGAATGGGTGCCAGAGGGTATAAAAGATCTAGTGTTATTCCCTGCCAAACACAGAGACTTCTCAGGAACTCTGCTCCTTCTCAAGCCTGCTCCCACGAGTCCTGCCCTTGGCTTTAGAGCTTTCATTCTTAACTTCATCGGATTGTAAACTCCGGCTCAAATCACTGATCAGCCGTGGGTTCGGAGTATGCTATGCCTGATCCTCCTTCTTCACTTCCACCACCATTTGCTCCTTTTTTTCTGGCACCTCGTTCTTTTCCCTGCTTAGCCCATATGTTTACTAGGTTGTTCTTCACAAGGGAAAAAAATAGTATTCAGAAATGTCAAAAATAAGGTTGGAATTAATGGAAAATGCATTACCACCCCCACTCCCCCAGCCCCCCAAAAAAACAGAAAGAAGGAGGGAACACTGCTCAGTGCAGATTGGTCATACTATAACTTTTTAAGCTATTTGTAACTGAGGTTTGTTATGTTTAACTTCAATCCTGTGATAGTAATAGGCCTCCACATCGCCCCTTCCCCTCGCCTTTATGCTTTGTTATACTGCTTTTCTTTTGTTCTCTGATGAGAGTGACATCTTTACAATCAGAGCACCCCCATGCCAATTTGAGATTCATCCCCCTAAAAGCTGTAAAGAGAGCTAATTTGCCTATTTTATCATTTTAGACTCCCTCTTAACCAATTAGGATACTTCATGATTACTAGTAAGTGTCTGAGGTCACATTTGAACTCAGGCCGTCCTGAATCCAGTTGAATGGTGTAATGAATAGAGTGCTGAACCTGGAGTCAACTGTGTGATGCTGAGCAAGTCGCTTAACCCTGTTTGCCTCAGTTTCTTCATCTGTAAAATGAGCTGAAGAAGGAAATGGCAGACCACTCCAGTATCTTTGCCAAGAAAACCCAAAATGGGGTCACGAAGAGTCAGATGCAACTCAACAACAACAACAACTTCCTGACTCCAGGCCCAGAATTCTATCCACCTGCCTACCTGTCCCTCAGATTATTAAGAACTCTCTCATTTTAATTGGGGTGGATAATATTGAGTCTTTGCTTTAAATTTCTTTTTATCTTTTTAAATTTTTATTTATACCTTTTGTTTTACATTATCATTTCTAAATATATACTTCCTTTCTACCCCCACTTTCTACCTCCCACTCCTGGCATATTGGGTAGATCATCTACTTTAACTCTCTAGCAGTACCTACTGACTTCGATTTCATCTGCTGCTTTGAAGGGTGATTTTATTTTAGCTTCCTCTATAGCAGGAAACGTAAAAAGCAGGGTCTGTTTGTTCTTTAACCTTTTTGTGTCCTAGATCCCTTTGGCAACCCATTGAAATATATGGATTCCTTCTTGTAATAATATTTTACATGAATAAAATAAAATACATTAGGATTGCAAGGGAAACCAATTATATTGAAATATACTTATCAGAAGTTTTTTTAAGTTCACAGAGCCCAGGGTAAGAATCTTTGATATCAAAATTTAAAGATAAAGAGAAGTTGGAAGAACTAGAGTTGGCCTCAGGATCACACAAGATTTACAACTAGAAGAATCTTAGAAATTGTCTGTCCAACACTCTCATTTTACAAATGAGGAAACTGAGATTCAGATGAAGTCACCTTGAGTAATTATTCTGATTTCTGCAAGGCAAAGAGACTGGAATGGTTTATCATTTCCTTTTCTAGTTTATTTTACAGATGAGGAAACTGAGGCAAACAGGGTCAAGTCTAGTGCCTTTTCCTGATGATTAGTATTTCAAAGGGAAAGAATAAAGTGATATTTTCATTTTCTCTTCCAAAGTATAACTAAGGTAGAATCATAGGATATTAAAACTGGAAAGGCTCTTTGAAATCATCAGATCTAATCTCCTAATTTTATAGATAGTTAAGTAACTCACCCAAAGCACAAAGCTAATCAGTGGCAGAATCTTCTGATTCCCAGTCTAGACTTCTTTTCGAAGAGCTGCAGAGTTTACCAAAGATTCTGAATTTAACACAGTGTCTTACACGTAGTAAGTAGACTGTTGATAAATATTTGTTTAATTTAACTGAGCTTAGAAAGCTTTCTTCCTTCAAGTCTATCTGATTCCTTTTCCCTTCCCTTCCTTATCAATTTCTTTGTAGTTGGTTTGCCTCTGTCTCCCCACTGCTTTCTGTTGGACTCCTCCTTTCCCTCACCTCTTTTTTTAATTTACCGTAATATAAAATTGAAGTATTTTTAAATAATCATTACTGTAACTAAAGTTTTATGTTGTCCTGAGTTTTAAATAAAATGTCAGCTTTTCTTATGTTTTCATCAGCCATACCCTACACCCTTAAAAAAACATACTAAATTAAGTTTAAATTCATTTTTATGTAAATTTTCTTTTTTAATATGAACTTAAAAAGATCAACAAACTAGAATATTTAGAATGCAAAGAATAAAAAAGTAGAATGAATACATATGGAAACTCAACTCTCTCAATTTCCAGTGTTTGTTTTCTTTAGCTTCTCTTAGCCTTAGTTCATTCAGAGCTTTACCACTCTAGTTTTACGGGCTTGTGTCACATGCATATATTTATGCCTTGTTACTCCCCTTCTTTTTTTTTCCTCTGTATCTTTTAAAAGGCTTAGTTGGTGAGTTTACTTTACATCTGTATGGGCTTCTTCAGAAAAATCTTGAAGCTTTTAAAAAATTGTTTCTTTTTCTGCCTTCAGAATTCTTACAAGCTTTTCATCTGTCCTGAGCAGACTTCCCCTATTGATATTTAGTCCATCCAATACTAATGTAATCTTCCTTGAAACCTTTTGAAATCTGCTCTGCCAAAATTTAAGGTACGTGTCAGACTGTCTTATTTCACAAGAACTTTTGCCATGTATGGTCTCTTCCTGATGTTTCTTCTCCAGCAACCAGTTCCTCTCTGATAGTGAGAAATATCCAAAATAGAATTTGCCTTTGTTGACCCCTCCATTTTTGAAGAATAAAATCATCATTAAGGTAGGTCAGAAAGTTATTAACTGTTCTACCTTGGGCAAAGAGAAAGAGAGAGATTGCCTGCAGACATTTGAATAATTGATATTCCCCATCACTACCATATCATGCCTTTGTATGGATTGGTTGCGATCTTCAAACTTCATATCTGTTTCTTCTTTCTGTCAAGGTTTCTCATCTATCAAACAGGGATAAGAATACTGGAATTACATACCTGATAGGTTTACTATAGGGCATATGTTATAAACTTGAATGCTCCTTATAAATGAGTTGCTATAGTTATCATTATTGCTATAAGGGATCTTGAGATGTTATGTGGTCCATTAATTTGTCTTCAGCTGGTTGTCTAATGTGACAAGAACACAGTTGCAGAATTA